CTGACCACACCACACGATCCATCATGTACAGCCAAGCTCTGCGATACAACCGCATTTGCTCCAACCCCTCAGACAGAGACAAACACCTACAAGATCTCTATCAAGCATTCTTACAACTACAATACCCACCTGTGGAAGTGAAGAAACAGATTGATAGAGCCAGAAGAGTTCCCAGAAGTCACCTACTACAGGACAGGCCTAACAAAGAAAATAACAGAACGCCACTAACCATCACCTTCAGCCCCCCAACTAAAACCCCTCCAATGCATTATTAAGGATCTACAACCTATCCTGAAGGATGACCCAACACTCTCACAAATCTTGGGAGACAGGCCAGTCCTTGCCTACGGACAGCCCCCCCAACCTGAAGCAAATACTCACCAGCAACCACATACCGCACAACAGAACCACTAACCCAGGAACCTATCCTTGCAACAAAGCCCGTTGCCAACTGTGCCCACCTATCTATTCAGGGGACACCATCACAGGGCCTAATAACATCAGCCACACAATCAGAGGCTTGTTCACCTGCACATTCACCAATGTGATATATGCCATCATGTGTCAGCAATGCCCCTCTGCCATGTACATTGGTCAAACTGGACAGTCTCTACGTAAAAGAATAAATGGACACAAATCAGATGTCAAGAATTATAACATTCATAAACCAGTCGGAGAACACTTCAGTCTCCCTGGTCACGCGATTACAGACATGAAAGTTGCTATATTACAACAAAAAAACTTCAAATCCAGACTCCAGCGAAAAACTGTTGAATTGGAATTCATTTGCAAATTGGATACAATTAACTTAGGCTTGAATAGAGACTGAGAGTGGCTAAGTCATTATGCAAGGTAACCTATTTCCCCTTGTTTTTTCCTACCCACCCCCCCTCCTCAGACGTTCTTGTTAAACCCTGGATTTGTGCTGGAAATGGCCCACCTTGATTATCATACACATTGTAAGGAGAGTGGTCACTTTAGATAAGCTATTACCAGCAGGAGAGTGGGGTGGGAGGAGGTATTTTTTCATGCTTTGTGCTTTGTGTGTATAAAAAGATCTTCTACACTTTCCACAGTATGCATCCGATGAAGTGAGCTGTAGCTCAGGAAAGCTTATGCTCAAATACATTGGTTAGTCTCTAAGGTGCCACAAGTACTCCTTTTCATTTTGAGAACATTTTTCTTTAGGCACCCACTTCTTAATGGTCTGGAAGGCATACATTATAGCTCTCTGTCACTGGGTGACTGATGCCTTTTAAAAGAACAGGTCCAGCTCCTTGTGCTCAAACAGGTGCTCCCAGTTTGGCAACTGAAGAGGGCAGAGCAGCAGCTGTGGCAATGAAGAACCAGGCTGTCATAAGGAAGGACGAGCTGAAGCTGCGAAGAATTCCCAAGGTGGGCTGCCGAAGTCCAAGAGGCATGGCAGAGGGAACTGCCTGGGGGAAATGTGCCTCCAGGGAGAGAGCCCTAGGAGGCAGTGGTCAGTTAAAAGAACAAAGAAGATTCTTGCATTTGGCCCGGAAGCAGGAGTGGGTGTGGCAGTGGGTCCCCCATGGGCTGGGGACAAGCCAGCACCTTACACTGACCATGAAGAATAAAATTAGATACTTAGATTTCCAGAAAGCCTTTGACAAGGTCCCTCAACAAAGGCTCTTATGTCAATTAAGCTTTCATGGGATAAGAGGGAAGATCCTTTCATGGATTGAGAACTGGTTAAAAGACAGGGAACAAAGGGTAGGAATAAATGGTAAATTTTCAGAATGGAGAGGGGTAACTAGTGATGATCCCCAAGGGTCAGTCCTAGGACCAATCCTATTCAACTTAGTCATAAATGATCTGGAGAAAGGGGTAAACAGTTGAGGTGGCAAAGTTTGCAGATGATACTAAACTGCTCAAGATAGTTAAGACCAAAGCAGACTGTGAAGAACTTCAAAAAGATCTCATAAAACTAAGTGATTGGGCAACAAAATGGCAAATGAAATTTAATGTGGATAAATTTAAAGTAATGCACATTGGAAAAAATAACCCCAACTATACATACAATATGATGGGGGCTAATTTAGCTACAACTAATCAGGAGAAAGATCTTGGAGTCATCATGGATAGTTCTCCAAAGACGTCCACACAGTGTGCAGCGGCAGTCAAAAAAGCAAACGGGATGTTAGGAATCATTAAAAAAGGGATAGAGAATAAGACAGAGAATATCTTATTGCCCTTATATAAATCCATGGTACGCCCACATCTTGACTACTGCGTACAGATGTGGTCTCCTCATCTCAAAAAAGATATACTGGCATTAGAAAAGGTTCAGAAAAGGGCAACTAAAATGATTAGGGGTTTGGAATGGGTCCCATATGAGGAGAGATTAAAGAGGCTAGGACTTTTCAGCTTGGAAAAGAGGAGACTAAGGGGGGATATGATAGAGGTCTATAAAATCATGAGTGGTGTGGAGAAAGTGAATAAGGAAAAGTTATTTACTTGTTCCCATAATATAAGAACTAGGAGCCACCAAATGAAATTAATGGGTAGCAGGTTTAAAACAAATAAAAGGAAGTTCTTCACTCAGTGCACAGTCAACTTGTGGAACTCCTTGCCTGAGGAGGTTATGAAGGCTAGGACTATAACTGGGTTTAAAAGAGAACTAGATAAATTCATGGCTATTAGCCAGAATGGGTAAGGAATGGTGTCCCTAGCCTCTGTTTGTCAGAGGGTGGAGATGGATGGCAGGAGAGAGATCACTAGATCATTACCTGTTAGGTTCACTCCCTCGGGGGTACCTGGCATTGGCCACTGTTGGTAGACAGGATGCTGGGCTGGATGGACCTTTGGTCTGACCCAGTATGGCCATTCTTATGTTATCATGTTTATGTTACATAAGGCACAGATCAGATTCAGAGATTAATTTAGGGTTGTACAAATAAAAAGTAAAGCTGCAGAGAGGGTACTACTAATGTATATAATTATAATATTGAACATCAGAATGTATATATTTTGGTTTGGTATTTTCTCAAGAAAGCTATACATCATGATTCATATTTCAGTCTTCAATATTATATAAACAAAAGTCAAAAACATTTGATTATATGAAAGACAATAATGCAGAGTTGTATGCTTGAAGCATTAAGCAATCAGAAGCATACAGAGTTTCAGGCTACCAGAGCTGGTCTGTTTAGCCATGCCACATTGTGTAGCAGAACACCAACTTTGATGTAGTGGATAGACCAAGACTACTGCTCAGTTTGGAATGGGTGAATCCAAGTTTGAAAAGATGCATTCTATGCTTTTTAGACACTGATGCAATTATTTTTTCTTGTTTCCCAGTTTAAACCGGTATTTACCAGCACTCTGTCCTAAACTAGATTTTCCTGGGAAACTGCCAACCCTGCCATAAGAAAAACCAAATCAGCAGGGAACATGGCGATTTCTTGGAGGACAGTGCATGTGAAACTGTCGTTGTCCTTAACGTCTGCTGGGGCAGAGATGCTGCCCAGTGTCACATGGAATGTTGGGTGGGGAGTGGCGAAAGAAGACGCTACACTGGAGTTCTGCAGGGACTGCAAAGGGAGACAAGCCCAAGGTTCACAAGAGTTTGCAACATGCGCATTTGCTGACGGAGAAGCTCCAGTATATCCTTGTGCATCTTCCTCTGCTTTTCCTGCTGGAATTCCTGGGCCTTTTTCCTGTCCGTTCTTTCCTTCTCCAGGCTGCCTGCGATGTTCACCCTCCAGGCCCTTTGCGTAGCTTCATGCAGCACTAGCTTGCAGGATCTCATTGAATGTCATCCCAAGTGCTCTTCTTTCTCCTCCTTATCTGGCTCAGGAGTTCCACAGGTGTGGAGACAAATTTAATTGTCGACAACAACCAGGTCAACACAAAACAGCTTACATTGACCTAACTTCCTGGCACAGACCAGGCCTGAGACAGCAAGAATAAGATGCTCCAGAGGGAAACTCTTGGGCATACTGAGTGAGATCAAATTCAGCTGAGCTGGAATGATGAAGAGAGATCTTTATTTCTTAAGAAAATTCCTTATTCCACCATATCATCTTTAAAGGTCTAACTTTTTTTTAAAGATTCCATCCCTGTTAGGTTGAGATGAGATGAGGTTTCTTGTAGACAAGAACAAGGGGACATTACATGAAATGAATGGGTGGCAAATTCAAAACTGATAAAAAGAAATACATTTTCCTCACAATACATATTCAGACTGTGGAACTCCTTGCCATATAAAATCATTGAAGCCAAGAATTTAGCAAGATTCAAAAAGGGATTGGACATTGACACAAGAATATCCAGAGTTATAATTGTTAATCCTAACACAGGTTTTGAAAGGGATATTAAACCACGTTTCAGGGTTGAAGCCATCTGTATCAGAGACCAGGATCAGATCTAATGAAGGGGGGAAATTATCCAACCTCTCACTGCAGCAGGGTTCTTACATCTTCCTCTGAAGCATCTAGTATTGGCCATTGTCAGTACTGGACTCATGTTTGATCCAGTAAAACAATTCCCATATTCTGGTTTTGCATCTTTTAATAAAGACTAGGCTTGCCATAGCTTTCAACCTGATTTACACGATGGCTGGGGAATATTCGCTAATGAGCTTTTTGTACAATCACAACATTTATGTGTGTCATCAGCCAGGGGTTCTCACATATTTTGGAGAGCAGGACACATTTTAATAGAGAGATTGTCTTGTGGACACCTCCTCTCCTCCAGGGACCACCTCTTCTCCCATGCATGATCACAGAACATACTTTTGTCAACTATACAGTAGGAAAGTACCTGTGCACTTTTAGCTTTCTTTTAAAGCAATTTAGCAGCTGGAAATAAGGAGTGGGAGTCAAAGCTGTGTGGTCAGCTAGCTCTCTCCCTAGATCACCGTACCAGAGCCAATGTCTCTATGTGGTCATTCTGAAGTTAATCAACGACTCATACAGCTTCTCATTTTAATGCAATTTTGTAAAGTTTGTCTGAAATGTTAATTTCTTCTGTTGCAGGTGAGAAAGAATGGTGCTACCTATCACAAAAATGCACTCACCCCAGCTGTGCAGGTAATTCTAAGCAGTTTATTTCTGAAATCATTTTAGTGCTGTGCTGTTTTACAAAGGGCCTACTTGTAGCAGTGATACAAATCTTCCCACAACAGCTTCAGATATCACATGCCACTCCATTATACTCTGAGACAGGGCCAGCTCCACGTGCTTGCTTTGCTGGTGCCTAGAGCCGGTCCTGCTCAGAGATTATATCTTGTGCCTCCATTCTCGGGCCAAATTCATCACTACAGTAAACAGGTGCAAGAACATTGATGTCAATGTAATAAATCCGATTGATTGTATGTCATCGGAAAGAGGAAAACCCAGTCCAATTAAGTTAAATGATTATTAGGATATTTAAGAGAAGGGGACAGAGATATGTTAATGACTCCAATGTTTGTTCTGGCTACCAATTTGGTTTTGGCTGAAGAAAACCCTGCCAATATAAGAAGTGGATCTAAAGTGCATCTGAAGAAGTGGGGTTTTTATCCACAAAAGCTTATGCCCAAATAAATCTGTTCGTCTTTAAGGTGTCACTGGACTCCTCCTGGTTTTCCTGTCAATGTAAAAGGAATTTACAACATACCCAAAAGATAACCCACAGGCACCAGGCAGGCATGCAATTCCTTAAAAATACTTGAGGCCTACATTAAGAAAAGTCTTCATATTTTAACTGGACTTGTATCACTGGGCTGAAGTAAAACAAAGGGTACAACAGCCAGCTGTACCACATTCGCTCCTTTGCTTCTATGCCAGTCGGAGCATCTAGTCTCACCTAGGCTGAGATGTAACATACTGGGAATAAAACTCAGGCATTCCTGGCTCCCAGTGCTGCCTTCAGCAAACACTAGAACATGGGTCTGCAATTTAAACCTGCCCCATCCTCCTTTTTAAATACATTCTAAGCTACAGGTTACAAATTTTTACTGTTTATGATCAATGAGCTAAGTCCGACACAGGCATGCTTCCCATTTAATCGGGCATTGCTACACACTTCATCTGCTTACATTTTCCAGTTGCACCAATCAGTCATTGTTGGGCACATTTCACTGTTTTGCATTTTTAAGTATTTTGTAAACATGTCAAGGAATCTCCCTATTAAACTCTGCCACTGAAAGAATTTTCCCAAGCTCAGAAGCAAATGTAGATCTACCAAGAGGTAGTTTGGCTTTATCAGGATGAAGTCACTTTGTCCATCAATTCTCAGGGGGTAGCCATGTTCGTTGTATCCACAAAACCAATAGGGAGTCCGGTGGCACCTTAAAAAGACTAACAAATTTATTTGGGCATAGGCTTTTGTGGGTAAAAACCCCACTCTTTCAGATGCATGGAGTGAAAATTACAGATGCAGGCATTATATGAAGAGAAGGGAGTAACCTCACAAGTGGAGAACTTGTATGAAGAGAAGGGAAGTTACCTCACAAGTGGAGAACCAGTTCTCCACTTGTGAGGTAACTTCCTTCTCTTCATATAACGTCTGCATCTGTAATTTTCACTCCATGCATCTGAAGAAGTGGGGTTTTTTACCCACGAAAGCTTATGCCCAAATAAATGTGTTAGTCTTTAAGGTGCCACCGGACTCCCTGTTGTTTTTGTCCTTCAATGAAAGCCATTTTTCCTTTCTCTTAAACAGAACCCCGTCTCTGGAATACAGTAAATATGGAGTGTGGAAAAAATGAACAGTCACCTATCAATATTGTCACCAACAAAGTGGAGTACAAAGGGGACCTGAAACCATTTACTTTTGAAGGCTATAATACCAGTCAGTCCCCTCATTGGACCATAGTAAATAATGGGCATACGGGTAAGCTATGGCAATGAATGGGGTTTACTTATTTGCTCTGTTTTATTAGCTCCTTAATTGCTGTCAGAAACATTTTCACTGTTGAGATTATTTTCTTCACACACTGAAGTTAATTGGCAAGAGCTGATTAATTAGCTATTTACGGATTCAGCTTTAATGTCCTGCCAGGCTGTCTGTCTATTGGGAAGAAATATTACTGGGGATACTCTGCGGCAGTGCTGTGTGGTGTCAGGTTACTAAGTCTAAAAAAAACTTTTTTTTTTTAAAAAAACTTAGTGCTGATTTAACCCTCATATTGGACCAAAAATCACCCAACTATTTCTATATTGTTATGTCAAAATGGGGGGGGGGGGGCCGGGACATGGGAATTGGGAGGCATTTGAAGCTGGTTTTACTGTAACCAGTGAACTATACAACTATGCACAAGTTAAAACTTTCCTAGATTCAGATGCGTACTACACAGTACTTGTGTTGGGGTCTAACTGACCCCAGGATCAAACACATTTTAAAGAAAGCTACACAATAGTGTCAGGGTCTAACCGAGCCCATGTTTGAACAATGAAAATAGATAGCAACAGTAATAATATAAAAGCAAATACAGATACAGCAAACTAGCAACTCAATGGCCTAATACTTGGAAAAAAAAAAATGGAGCAAAAATTGGTGACCCAGGTTCTGAACATGCAAAGTATTTACACTTCACACATTTCTGATGTATTTTTCTGACTCGTTCTCTGGACCAGATGTAATATCTTCCCCATTTCTCTGGCTCTGGATCAGTACCCAGCACACTCAGATGCCCCAGCAACAGCATCTGTCAAGTGTGGGCTTGTCAGAAAATGTATCCAACAATCGTGGCTTCCCTGGAAACTTTTCCTAGCAAGTGCAGGCTTCCCAGAAAATCAGTTTGATGGAACTATCTTCAAAGAAATGCAATTTGCTCTACAATTGTGATGATACATGAGGCAAATGTTATCTGGGGTCTCACAGACCAACAGACCATTTCAGTATTTTTTTTTGCGTGGTGGGGGCGGAGGGGAGAAGAACACTGAAACTGTGATGATAAAAACAGTTATGTAGGATTCATATAATAATGGCTGCCTCAAAATAAAGACAATCTGATGCTGGAATACCTGCATAATTAATTTGGGGGCCCCCAATGCCTTTTAAGTAACTGTTTTCACACTATGCTAAAACCACCACAGATATGTAGACAAATGCTAACAGGTTTGCTCATCACAGCTTGAGAATACTTCAAGAAAGAAGAGGCTATGGCTTGCCCATCATGTTTTATTCAAATTTTTGTACCCGTTTGCAGTCCGAGACCGCCCCTCAAGACCTTGGATATGCAATACTTTCATTTCCCCACTGACTAACACTGAGGGGTCTAACTGACCCCAGTGACCTTCTCAGTGACTTTTTTTTGCTGCACAAAACCCACAACAGGTAGGATAAAATCAATGCAAAAAGATTGACCTCCTCCTACTCTGACAATAATGTATGAAGAGGTACAGGACAGGCATGAAAAAACTGTATTTATATTTGTGTGCATCCATTTTTTGTCAAAGACACCCCAAAGCATAAGGAGAGTTGAAAAAACCTGGGCTGTTGTCAAGAGAACCAGCTGCTTGACAGCCAGCCCCGAATCTGAATGGCCCCAATGCAAAGTGCTCCCCTGGGAGACAGCTGAAATTTAAAAAAGCACTTTACAGATCGATTGGGCAATGAGATTTTTGTTTTGAAATTCAGTAGTTAGGCAGATTGTTTTTTCTTACAAACTTCTTCTGATTTTCCACTAATGTGGACAAAGTTAATAGCCTTTTTGGTACAATATAAAATTGTGGAATCTTCAAAGCATGGCTGATGCTCCGAGAAATGTCTTTGTATAAAAAATCAACCATCGTAGAAACAGCTTAGAACTTTAAGTCCCCAAGACATGCAAAACGGGGTTTGCAGCGGGGGGAGCAAGTGCAATGAGAATAAGATTGGATGCAATTATTATTTTTAGATTTCAATAGCACCTAACTGCTCTGAGATTGGAACCTCATTGCGCTAGGTGTCTTTCATACACATAGTAAAAGAGAGTCGCTGCCAACAAGACCTGACAGTCTAAACAGACACAAGAAATGTTACTAATCCATTTACAGACAGGGAAGTGAGGAACACAGCTATGAAATGACACCTAAGGACATACAGTGCAGCCAGTCTTTGGGAGCTGGGTATTGAACTCATGTCTCCCGAGTCCCAATCCAGGGCCTTATCTACCAGACCAGCCTTCCTCTCAGGGAGGTCCTAATTCCATCTCCCAGAGAGCACAAAGGCTGCTGTTTTCAAATGCATCACAGATCTCTCAAGCAGAGGACGGTTAAGGGAAATTATCACTAGAAAATATTTTTATTCTTCCCGGAGACACGTTTTATTCTCCTGTTAATACCGGACTCAAGCTCTGCTCTTACCTGGGTTTCACTTACCTAGTTTTACTCTATAGCATTGGTTTTAACCCTTTTTCATTTGCAGACCCCTAAAAAATTTCAAGTGGAAATGCAGACCCTTTTGGAAATCTGAGACAGAGTCTGCAGACCTCCAGGGGTCCCACAAACCACTGGTTGAAAACCATGGCTCTATAGTTAGACTGGTGTAAAGTGAAAGTGAGTCCTACAGTTGAGACATAGTAACAGTGTCTTTAACTCTAAACCCTGCAAGACCCTCAAAGCAAATAAATACTGCAGCACACAAAATAGGCGACAAAAACAGAAACCTGCAAATAAACCTCTTGGGACCAAGTTCACCTTCTAGAATGCAGCTCTGTACATTTAAAGGGAAAAATCCCTGGTCCAACATCGCTTTTCTAGATAACAGAGGAAGAAACCCAGGGTTTGTCTTAAAAGTGAGAGAAGCACAGGCTCTTGCTTCTCTCCTGCCAAAAACCAGTCACTTGGACGCTCCCAGCAAGGAAGAGATGGTCAATTAACCTTACACTGCATTGAAAAGCTAGTATTGATTTATTTAAAAATTAAATTGATGAGAACAATTGATTGATTACAAAGAGGCAGATGAAGATGCTTCCACAAAAGCTCATTTAACTGGCTTTCACCAAAATAAATAGAACTATAATCCATAGATGGCAGCACACAAATTCTTTTCCGTTATGTAGCATTTTTCATCCATAGGTCTCCCCTTTACAAGGAGAGGTAAGTATCATTATCACCATTTTATAGATGAGAGAACTGAGGTACAGAGAGGTTAATAGCCTGAGCTGTAGAAGTGTTGTGGCACCTGGAGTTGCCATAGACTTCAACTGGAGCCACAGGTGCTCAGTACTTTGGCAAATCAGGCCCTAAGTGACTAGCACAAGGTCATGTAGCAAATCAGAAACTCAAGTATCACAGAATATCAGGATTAGAAGGGACCTCAGGAGGTCATCTAGTCCAACCCCCTGCTCAAAGCAGGACCAATCCCCAACTAAATCATCCAGTATCTGAACTCCTAGTCCTGTGCCCTGGATATAGGGATTGGACGGTTCCCCATTTTAATTACATTTGAACCGGTACTCAGGAGTGTTCAGAGTCAGATCTGGATCTGAAGTTCATTAATCTAGGTCACCCAATATAAAGGGCTGAGCCAAAGCATTGAATCCAAAACCCAGTGAACTTCTGGGAAACTCTGGATCCAGAGCTTTCACAACCAATGCCCCTCGCTCGTTTCAACTATTCTTAAAATCAGAGCCAAACAATTTATTTCTTTTTAACTACTTGTTTCTACCAGTTAAAGTTTCTCTTAGCGGGTCAGCAAAGATTGGAGGTGGAGGTCTTCAAAATAAATACAAGGCTATTGAGTTTCACTTCCACTGGGGCATGAAGCTAGACAAAGGGTACAGCCCTGGATCGGAACACAGCATCGATGGAGAGAGATACGCTATGGAGGTAGGCGAGATTCTCTCTCTGTTAATGCAGCCGGGTCCAAGAACTCTGACTTCTTAACCTAATGTTGAATGAAATAAACCAACAGATTCTTTTGCAAGACTCTAGGAGGAGAATTAAATAACTGAGAATTTATTGTTTGTTGAGCCCTGTGGAGATCACAGAGGGAAAACGATCAGGGTCTGGACGTTTTGCATGGCAAAGGCAAATGTGGAGAGGCAGTAAAACCCAGGGTTAGTTAGCCTTCAGAGACGGCAGTAGCATTTCAGGCTATAAAGCATCTATCTCCCAGTCTCACACTTGCTTATTCAGATACTTCTGTTGTGACCGTGCAGGGACAGGTATAAATTCCTTGAATAGCAGTGAGGGCAAATCCTACCCTCCGTAGACAAACCAGGTGGGCTTGATGCAGGAAGGTCCCAAGTGAGTTGGTGGGAGGAAATCACCCTCCACCTCAGGTCATGGAGTAACAGTGGAACCACTGCAGATTCAGGGCGGCAGTAGCCCATAAGCTCCTCTTATACCAGCGGTTCTCAAACTTTTGATCTGGTGACCCCTTTCACACAGCTAGCCTCTGAGTGCGACCCCCCACCCCTATAAATTAAAAACACTTCTTTATATTTAATGCTATTATAAATGCTGGAGGCGAAGCGGGGTTTGGGGTGGAGGCGGACAGCTCGTGACCCCCCATGTAATAACCTCACGACCCCCTGAGGGGTCCCGACCCCCAGTTTGAGAACCGCTGTCTTATACAGATGGGGGAGAAGGGGGGTGGAACTGCCTTTGGGTGCATGTCTTTGCAAAGTCACCAGTCCCATATCTTCCACAGTGCCTCTCGCCAGCTGTGGGAGGGAGTAGCCCTGCTCCACCTCCACAGTAGAACAGCAGGGGTTTCTCCACGCCCAGGGCACAGGGAAGGGGCCAGGATTTGCCGATAAATGGCTATAAAGGGAGTAATAATTGACCTTTAATACCTGTATTACAGCTTCATATAGTCCACATGAAAGAGGATTTCTCCACTATAGAGCAGGCAGTGAAAGTTGAAGAAGGTCTGGCCGTGCTGGGGTTCTTTATAAAGGTAAGTTGCCAGGATTTTTTTAACTGGCCACCTCAGACTGGCACCTACCAAAGCTTGGACCAAGTTGCAGGGTTTGGCTGTAGAACTGGCCAGGAGCCAAAGTTCCCCCAATGTTTTCAGGGGTCCAGATCAATCATTTAAGTCTGGCCTCACCTCTAGTGCTTAGCGAAGGTCTGCACTGCACTCAGAGAGACGTGACTGCAGCATAGCACCCGTAGACACATCTGAGCTAGCTTTGATTTTGCGAGCGTGAACAACAATACCAGTGATGCCACAAGCAGCACAGGCTACACAAGCCCACCCAGGACCCTGGGTGTGTACTCAGACACCAAGCCCATGCTACGGCAGCCTCACTGTATTGCGATTCGAGCTGGCTAGATCATAGCTTAGCTTGGGAATGTCTACACATGCAACAGTCACACCTCTGACTATGGAGTAGACCTATCCGCAGTGACTTTCTGTTACGTTCAGCTCATTGATTTTTGTTCAGCTTTCTTTCCCACTTCTTTTCTGTTTCATTAATAATTAAATTAAAAGTTACGGGTCGGGGGGGTGGGGGGGGGAAATGTCTGAGGAAAGGGATACATTTTCTGACTCAAAATATTGTTTCAGACCGGTGCAAAAAATGAAAACTATAAATCTCTAATAGAGATATTAAATGAAGTTGCTGTCAAAGGTAAGGAGCTTGGATTTATCATCGAGCAATTTGAATTTATTTAACAAGATAATCATTATACGTTCCTAGGCGTTACAGAGGCTAAGGTCCGGTCTACACAACAGAGCTATACCGGTATAGCTACGTCGGTCAAGGATGCAAAAAATCCACGACCTACCCTCCCATGTCGACAGCGCTGTGTCGGCAACAGAGCTTCTCCTGCCAACATGGCTGCTGCCTCTTGGGAGGTGGATTAACTAAGACGGCGGGAGAGCTCTCTCTGTCAGCTTAGAGCATCTTGATTCAAGCGCGATAGAGGGGCAGCTGCGCCCAGGTAGCATTTTAAGCATAGACTTGCCCTCAGTTCAGAAGAAACTTTGAAGTGATTTTCAGCAAGGGAGCGGAGAGCTCACACAAGGTGTCCACGTTGTGAAGCTGCGCTTTGCAGGGGCTCTTGAGAAGGGCAGGCCCAGTGGTTCCTTGGCTATGCCCATCCAGTAGCCCCCGCCTCCCCCACAACCAGCGATGGGGGACTAGGACGGTGTCACTGCAACAGAGTTGGTAGTAGCAGCCAGAGTTGAAGGGAGCCGTAAACCGGGAACCTGTAACCATGCCCATTCCAGCGGACGTTTCTCCATTGTTTTCCTAGGGTCTCAAAAAAATATGTCGTCTTTGCCCCTGGAATCGCTCATTCCAGCGAAAGAGGATCTCACACGCTATTATCGGTACAGTGGCTCCCTGACCACTCCCAACTGCTACGAGGCTGTCGTCTGGACAATATTTCAGGAGCCAATCATACTGAGTGAAAGTCAGGTAATGCATAGAGTAACAGACTGAAAGGAGCAGTGAGGTCATTTTGTGTCTGTCTCACTCATACTCCCCTCCCCACCCTCTTTTCTTCCCTCCCACATATGATCTCATATGCACAAAGTCCAATGTAGGATTGTCCCCTTCTCCATTACCTTTGCAGTCCAATCTTAAGAGACTCTAAGTCCATGTCACCACAACAGATCACACACTGACCAGCGTGTTTGCCATCTGTCCCACCACTCATTTTGGTGAAAAAAAACAAAACAAAACTCAGAATCCTTCCCTGCTCCAAAAAAGGGGCGTGGGCATATACTAGATCTTATATGGCACTTTGTATACAAGGATCTCAGAGCAATTCTCAAAGCAATGTTAGTAACATCACCATTTTAAAGGTGGGGAAACTAAAACACATTGTAATTAAGTGACTTGCCAAAGGCCACACAGTGAGTCAGTGACAGAAGTGGGAACAGAATTCAGATGAATGCTAGTTCAGTGCTTTATCCAATGCCCCATAGTGCCTCTAAATGAGGGTCTGAATCATCCCCTAACTTCAGATGTTTTGGAATGTGTCGCTGAATTGCTTCTGAGAACTGAATAATGAGTGACTGGCCTTTTTCCTCGAGCCCCATTAGAATTTTATTTTAATAGAACAGAATATTTTAAATTGGTCATGATCTGTTCGCGCTTCCATCTCAGCTCTACCATGAACTTATTGAGTGGGCTTGGACAAGGCACAACCCCTCTGGGTCAGTTCATCGGCAAACAGTGACCATGATCAGTATGTCCACAGTGTGATATCCCATCAGACTGAGTCCATAAGATTAACAATAGTTGCTCGGTGTTTGCTGAGAACCCAACACCCAGCCAGATGTGAGCCAGTGCAGTGGGGGATGACAGAAATTGGGGGTGTGCCTCTCAGCTGGCAGCTGCTGGCTAAATTTCTGCTTCAAGTAGCCAGGAGTTAGGCTCTAGAGAAGAACCAGAGGAGGTGAGGCATGTAATCTTGATCCCCGCAAGTTGTGTCACAGGGACCTGAGGGATGGGGGCAGGAGCTGAACATAGAGAAAAGACCTGTCTTTCCAGGGTGGCTTGTACTTAGACAGAACTAGGATGTTTAGCTGGGAGGAAGTTTAAAGAGTCTGCCTGGGCTAGAAGGAAGCATCTATCAGTGATCTGGGGGACAAGTTTTAGTGGCACTCGTTCCATTTAAGCTTTAATATACTCTTGTGGTTCAGAGCAACACCACAGTGAGAGGAACTATAGACTCAAGATAGGACAATTCCCTTTTCTTTCCCTCAGAAAAATAACAACTATTTTTGGATGGTGGTGTGCAGGTGGTGAACTTCTTGGAGAAGCTTTACTTCAGTGAGAATAAAACATTACAGATGACCGACAATTTCCGACCTGTTCAACCTCTCGGGAACAGAACTGTGTACCGCTCTGATGTCAGCGTTGTACAGCCTCCTGCAAAGGCTTTATTGGTGATCCCAACACTTATCTACCTCATGAGTCTTCTTTTCCAGTAAACACTACCAGGTTTCTGGGCTTTAATTTTTTGTTTCAAGCACTTCTCTCCAGTTGAGAAGCTCTAGACTACAGCTGATTGTACACCATAGCCTTGCTGTTTTTTCTAACGCTTATCAATATGATTTTTTTATATATAAAAATAGGGCTGTCGATTAATCACAGTTAACTCACACAATTAACTAAAAAAATCCATCGCAATTAATCACAGTTTTAATCACACTGTTAAGCAATAATAAAATACCAGTTGAAATATATTATACATATTTTTGGATGTTTTTCTACATTTTCAACTATATTGATTTCAATTACGACATAGAATATAAAGTGTACAGCATTCACTTTATATTTTTATTACAATATATGCAATGTAAAAATGATAAACAAAAGAAATAGTATTTTTCTATTCACCACATACAAGTACTGTAGTGCAATCTCTTTATTGTGAAAGTGCAATTTACAAATGTAGATTTTTTTTGTTACATAACTGCACTCAAAAACAAAACAATGTAAAACTTTAGAGCCTACAAGTCCACTCAGTCCTACTTCTTGTTCAGCCAATCGTTAAGACAAACCAGTTTGTTTACATGTATGGGAGATAATGCTGCCCACTTTTTATTTACAATGTCACCTGAAAGTGAGAACAGGCGTTCGCATGACACTTTTGTAGCTGGTGTTGCAAGGTATTTACGTGCCAGATATGCTAAACATTTGTATGCCCCTTCATGGTTCAGTCACCATTCCAGAGGACATGCTTCCATGCTGATGACGCTCATTAAAAAATAATGCATGAATTAAATTTGTGACTGAACTCCTTGGGGGAGTATTTATGTCTGCTGCTCTGTGTTTTACCCACATATTGCCATATATTTCATAATATAGCAGTCTCGGATGGTGACCCAGCACACATTGTTCGTTTTAAGAACACTTTCACTGCAGAGCTGACAAAACGCAAAGAAGGTACCAACGTGAGGTTTCTAAAGATAGCTACAGCACTCAACCCAAGGTTTAAGAATCTGAAGTGCCTTCCAAAATCTAAGAGGGATGGAGCATGCTTTTAGAAGTCTTAAAAGAGCAGTACTCTCATGCGGAAGCTACAGAACCTGAACCACCAAAAAAGAAAATCAATGTTCTGTTGGCGGCATCTGACTCAGATGATGAAAAGGAACATGCATCGGTCCATACTGCTTTGGATCGTTATCGAGCAGAGCCCGTCATCAGCATGGACACATGTCCTCTGAAATGGTGGTTGAAGCATGAAGGGACATATGAATCTTAAGCACATCTGGCATGCAAATATCTTACGATCCCGGCTACAACTGTGCCATGGGAACGTCTGTTCTCACTTTCAAGTGACATTGTAAACAAGTTTCAGAGTAACAGCTGTGTTAGTCTGTATTCGCAAAAAGAAAAGGAGTACTTGTGGCACCTTAGAGACTAACCAATTTATTTGAGCATAAGATTTCGTGAGCTACAGCCCACTTCATCGGATGCATTCTGTGGAAAGTGTAGAAGATCTTATTATATACACACAAAGCATGAAAAAATACTTCCTCCCACCCCACTCTCCTGCTGGTAATAGCTTATCTAAAGTGATCACTCTCCTTACAATGATACACATTGTAAGGAGAGTGATCACTTTAGATAAGTTATTACCAGCAGGAGAGTGGGGTGGAAGGGGGTATTTTTTCATGCTTTGTGTGTATATAATAAGATCTTCCACACTTTCCACAGAATGCATCCGATGAAGTGAGCTGTACATTGTAAGGAGAGTGATTACTTTAGATAAGCTATTACCAGCAGGAGAGAGGGGTGGGAGGAAGTATTTTTTCATGCTTTGTGTGTATATAATAAGATCTTCTACACTTTCCACAGAATGCATCCGATGAAGTGAGCTGTACATTGTAAGGAGAGTGATCACTTTAGATAAGCTATTACCAGCAGGAGAGTGGGGTGGGAGGAGGTATTTTTTCATGCTTTGTGTGTATATAATAAGATCTTCTACACTTTCCACAATATGCATCCGATGAAGTGAGCTGTAGCTCACGAAAGCTTATGCTCAAATAAATTGGTTAGTCTCTAAGGTGCCACAAGTACTCCTTTTCTTATTGTAAACAAGAAGCGGGCAGCATTATCTCCCGCAAATGTGAACAAACTTGCTTGTCTGAGTGACTGGCTGAACAAGAAGTAGGACTGAGTGGACTTGTAGGCTCTAAAGTTGTACATTGTTTTATTTTTGAATGCAGTTATTTTTTGTACATAATTCTACATTTGTAAATTCAACTTTCATGATAAAGAGATTGCACTGCAGTACTTGTATTAGGGTGAATTGAAAAATACTATTTCTATTTTTTTTACAGTGCAAATATTTGTAATAAAAATAAATATAAAGTGAGCACTGTACATTTTGTTTTCTGCATTCAATTTGAAATCAATATATTTGCAAATGTAGAAAACATCCAAAAATATTTAAATAAATTATATTCTATTATTGTTTAACAGTGTGATTAATCATGATTAATTTTTTAATCGCTTGACAGCCCCTATATATAAAAATTAATTTCAGGAAACATCCTCAACACTCATGATAAATATAATACAAAGCTATAGAGAAGCCCTTTTTAAAATCACAAAAGACTTTTCTTTTTAAAGCAATAAAATGTATTAATTGCAACTTTAAAGCAACACTGCAAGTGTGTTTAATGAGCCATTCAGAGGACTTATAGGAATTTGTAGCCGGAGTGCCAAAGTGAGGTTCTGAAGGCAATATATTTATATGCTGCACCACAAATCAGGGACATGAAACTGCTTTGGTCACTCATAGCATCCGCTATGTCCTCCAACATTAAGGCACAACACAACCTGTTTAAAAAAAAAAATCAATCAGTAAGCAATACAGGGCTCATCCTACGTATTGCAGGATACATGGCACGCTTCACCCAGAGGGGAACATTTTCTTGCTTCTCTCTCCTTAAGGTTAATTTTAAAGAAGGGTTTGATTATTTTTTAAATCTACTGCTCTTGGGTTTTAGGAACATAGGAGTTACTATACTGGTTAGACTGTTGGTCCAATCTAGTCCAGCATCCTGCCTCTGGCAGTAGCCAGTATCGGATGCTACAGAGGAAAAGGAAAGCTCCACCCAATACATCTAGCTTCACACACATGGAAAATTCCTTCCTGAATCCCACTGGAGGCTTAAATCTGAAGAGTGAGGTTTGATGATCCTTTATTGTCTCCCATTGAATAATAAAATACGAGAACTGTTCAGATAATGTTTCCCCCTGTGGAATTTTTCTTTGAATTTTTTTTTCAGGTTTTCATCAAAACCCTCCAATTTTTTGGTTTAGAATTGATATTTTGTGAACATTTCCATTTTGTTGAAAAAAAAAATGTTCTGATGGAAAGATTTTTACCAGCTCTATAAAATACTCCCACACTTGTGTGATAGGTAAGACCCATACATATATAAAGGGGGTTGTTCTGTGATTTGGGTTGTTATCTTCAGAGCTTATCCAATCACACACTGGAAATACACTGTGAAGATGGGTTTCTCCTGTTAAATTCTGATCACCTCAATATGCAGAGAGATGCAGTGTCTCAGCTGATTTAATCCTTTGAGCCAATGTAATGTAACATGTTGCAGCCCCTTGGTGAATTTTAAATCTTGGCTATCTCAAAAAGGGATTTTAAACTCGGAGTGCAGTTATGCCTTTTTCTTTAGGGCTATGTTTCTGTACAGGACACTATAATATCACATCCATATAGTCACTCATATGAGAGATATACAAGGGTGCCTGGACACAGTTTACTGAGGGCAAATGGCAGGGTGGGCAATTATTTTCTTCTCTACTGTATCTATTTAAGTTGATTAATGAAGACTTGAAAACCACAATGGAAAAGCAGATTGATATTTATACCTTTAGGAGAATATCCAAGACTGTAAGTGTATTTTTATATCGTTTAGGAGATTTCAAGAACTGAATAAAAATAAAAGCTTGTGATTGAATGGTGATGTCTGAATTTTCCATCGGCCTGGCATTTCTCTCTCTCTGCCCTCACAGCAAGTGCTAAGAAGAGGAAGGTATTTTCCCCATCTCTTCTAGACAATTTAGGTTGTATCTTTGGAAGCGTTCCCTGTTCCATTTGTGTATTATGATGTCAATGGTCCCAGAGGTCTTTGGGAGGATCCTTTCTTTACATTGGCCTCCAAGATACTAATTGCACATATTGGAATTATGCAGACTATAGGGGCTGATTTTGCACGGTGCTGTGTGCCCTTCCACTCCTGTTGAAATGGGGGGAGTTCCATTTTATCCAAAGAAATCAGAGCCATGGGGTCGCCCAGTACATCTTCATGTCAGAATGGACACATGGCTATTTAGTGAGATGCTAGCTAGCTAGGCATCCATCCATCCCTTAAACATCTTTGTACAAGAAGCAATGGTCTCAAGTTGCAGTGGGGGAGGCCTAGGTTGGATATTAGGAAACCCTATTTCACTAGGAAGGTGGTGAAGCACTGGAATGGGTTACCTAGGGAGGTGGTGGAATCTCCATCCTTAGAGGCTTTTAAGGCCCGGCTTGACAAAGCCCTGGCTGAGATGGTTAAGTTGGGGTTGGTCCTGCTTTAAGCAGGGGATTGGACTAGATGACCTCCTGAGGTCTCTTCCAACCCTAATCTTCTATGATTCTACCTGCCTTCCACTACTTCCACTCATTTCCCAAAACCAGGAAGACTATTAAGAAGCTATGGAGCAAAGAGACTTCACAACGTGTAGTAAACTAGTTATTTGACAGCCTCATGTTTTGCTGCCCCATCCAGGTTTCCAGGCAACAACAGAAACAATGCAATCTCGTATAAAAGCCATGCGTCTTCACTGTTTAAGATCTTAGCAAGGTGATCACGCCCCAAGATGATCTCTCCGAGAACAATGCTCCGTTCATGCAACAAGACCTCTGTATCCAATGAGAGGGTGCTTAAGGTGTAGTCACAGCCTTCTTCACTGAGATCTCACTCATTTCCACATCCACAGAAGGGTGGGCTCTCAAACTGCATGAAGAGTGGTTAGACCACAGTGCTGGGCTCCAGGACTCCTGGGTGGGGTGGGGGTCTATTTTCAATTCTGTCCCTCACTGCATGAGTGACCTTGGGCACCTTGCTGTTCCTCAGTTTACCCAACTGGAAAATGGATGTACTCCTTCAGCACTTCAAAGGTTCTGAGACAATGAATTAGTTGTATGCAAAGCACTGAGTTTCTCCTATAAATGGACAAAGTGCTACTAATTAACTATGTTAATTCTACTATAGCAAAAAGCAGTTAGAAAATGTGATTTACTGTGAAGGAGACAACACTCATTCACTCCCTAATATTTTAGCTGCTGGACGGGGGGGAAGAACAAAAA